GGAGAAACTGAGGCCCTGGGGAGGGCAGGAGCTAGCCCTAGTCTGCTCAGCCCCTGAAAAAACACTTGGCGTCTAAATCGAAGGCCCAAATGGTAGGTAGAACTCTTTAGTCAGGCCCCACAAATTTTAAAAAGTCTTAAAAAGTGACTCTTCAGGACATGACAATGAGAGCGATCATAGGGCATATCCAGCCTCCATCTCTCCTGCCACCCACCACCCACCCCACCCCCAGCTGGATGGAACTAGTATAGCGCCCCCCTCCCCGCCCCCCCACTCGCTAGCTTCTCTGTCCTCGGAGCCCCTCTGCCTGGTTCCTTGTCCCCCACTCCTCTGCCTAGGTACCGCGACTCCAGGAAGTGCCCCTGCCCATCTTGTGCCTCAACTCTCCTGTGTGTCCAGCACCTCATCTCTGGGAGAGAAGGGCAGCGGGCTCTACGCTCCGAGGGGCAGTCAGCGTGAGGGACGTGGGGGACCTGGAAGGGCGGGGATGACAAGGCACATGGCGAGCCAAGCTAGCTCCAAGGCCAAGCCTTGGGCTCCAGGAGAAATAAGACCGGCGGACTTAGGCTCCCTGACTGAGGTATGCCTGGCCCAGGCCAAGGTATTGTCAATCACTTCATAGGCATGGGAAAGTCGGACTTTGAATAAGACCATGGAAGAATCCGTGCACGTGGGTTACGGTGCTGGCAAAGAATATTGAAAGCACCCCGGATGGCCTGAAGAACAATCAAACCTGTCTCGGAATAAGTACGGCCAGCGTGCCCCTTCCAGGCAAGGACAGCGAGACTTCGTCTCCCAGACTTTGGACATGTTAGCAGAGAGGCCAGTCCCTGGAGAAGGACACCGTGCTTGGGAAAGGCTCAGGGCAGTGGAAGACAGGAAGGCCCTGGGCATGATGGACTGACACGGTGGCTGCATCAATGGACGCTCACAGAGGGACAATTGTGAGGATGAGGCTGGGGCCCGGCCGCGCAGTGTTTCACAGGCTGCTGTGAGTTGGGACAGACTCGGCACCACCAGGCCCTGGGGTGGGGGTGCTTTCTGCGTGTGATAGCATTTGAAACTCATGGTTGGGAGATGCAGAATGCATTTAATGCACCCATTCTTTTAGGCGTGGAGATCGAAGCTCAGTGGGTTCCCTGGAGAGTCCACGGCATGGCCTGAACAGGCGACCACTTCTGGGCTCCTAGGCCCTGAAGGGTTGAGGGTGGGGATGGGAAGGGCGACCCAAACAGTCAGACAGAGGGGCTTCTAGGTGAAGCTGGGCCTCTCCGGTCACTCACCCACAGTCATGCCGTCCATGTAGCGCTTGATGATGTCAAAGGATTCCCGCAGGTTCCCCTCCGTGATGTCAAAGATGATGTCAGCCTGGTTGGCAGGGTACGCGGGCGTGATGGCCCGGAGGAAGACGATCTCTGTAAGGAGAAGCACAGCGCGATAGCTGGGTTTGTGTCACACCTCTCGCTCGGCAGCGTGGCCGTGAAGGCCTAGGCCAGTCATGCCCCGTGACAAGACCTAATACGATGTAGTCAACTCCGCGGAGGCATTTGCAGTGAAGAGCCGAGCAGTTCTAAGATCAGGCTGGGATGCAAGTCCCCTTGCTCAGGTCACAGCCCTGATGAAGCTTCCTAGGGGTGTAGCTCACTTCCCGTCTAAGTGGATGCTGTGGGGAGCTTGCTTGCTTTTTCTGCTGAACCTGGATTCTGCATCGGGTTCACCTGTTCTTAGACTGGAGACTGCCATCTTGCCTGTCAACCTCAGGAGCCATCAGCCGTCTGCCATCGGCCCAACCTGCCGTCTGACCTGCCAACCTGGGATTCTCTGGACTCTGCAGCCCCAAACCTGGCCCGCTAACCTTGGGTGGATGCAAGCCTGTGGTCCTCCTGCTTACTGGTTCATCAGCCCAGCAGCTCCTTGAATTGGGAGAAGCTTCCAGCTTAACATCTGACCCATGGACTTCAACCAGAGGGACTGGACTTATTCACTTTTGCAAGTATGTGAGCCATTTTCTTGATATAAATCTCTCTGTCTCTCTCTCTATATATAAAGTGTATATCTACACATAAGTATATATGCATATGTATATGCATATCTCTATGTGGTTATATTAAATATACATGTATGTGTGTATGGGTACACACACACATACATACATATACACGTGTAGAGAGAGAGAGCACACACCCTGGTGGTAAGCAGTTCTAAACCACTAGCCACTCCACTGGAGGAAGATGAGGCTTTATACTTCCATAAAGAGTTACAGTCTCGGAAATCACAGGGGCAGTTATACCCTGTGCTGGAAGGTCGTTATGAGGGAGGACTGACTTGATGGCAGTGAATTTGGTGTGTTTATATATGTGTATATGTGTGCGTGTGTGTGTGTGTGTGTGTGTGTGTGTGTGTGTTTCTCCACAGAACCCAGGTGAACACACAGTGTGGCCCAGGCACCTCAGGACACCCTCTATACAGGACAGCATGGGCTAGGTGTCCCCAACTCGCCAGGACAGGCTGGTACAGATGGGCACCCTGGAATAAGCCCTGGGCACTGGAAGCCAGGGCACCAGCATGGAGCAGAGGATGGGCCCCCGAGGGGCCGTCCGGCCTGTGCCCGCAGCACCAGTGAGACACCACGGCTGCTGAGAGGGGTAGGTGGGGGGTCTTCCTGAGGTCCAGCTTCACTCTCAGCAGGGCTGGCACACAGGGACCCAGGTCATCTAGAATATCCGGGAAGGGAGGAAGATGGGGAGGGACGTGGGTAAGGGGACGTTCAGGGAAACGCCTCCTCTCCTGCCCCACAGTGACCTGAATCTGACAGGTCTTCCCAGTGCGCTGAATGGCTGGGTGCCCTGATTACTCCCCCCCACCCCTCTGCCCCCAGACCACTTGGGTGGCCTTGGGAGAACCCTCCCTCTGCACCTGAATTTCCTCATCAATGAGCCATGATTTTTTCCATCACCTCCTATGTATGTGAAAGTTGCAACACTGAATAACGAAGACCGAATTAAAACCAGACGCCTTTGAATGACGGTGCAGGAGAAGAATACTGAAGGTCCCACGAACTACAAACACATCTGCTTTGGGAAAAGTACAGCCCACATCCTCCTTAGGAGGGAGGGTGGTGAGACCGTGTCACATGCCCTGGACATGCGGTCAGGAGAGACCAGTCCCAGGAGAAGGACATCGTGCTAGGTAGAGTGGAGGGGCAGCGACAAAGAGGAAGACCCTCCATGAGATGGACGGACACAGCGGCACCAACAAGCTCAGACAGAACCACGGAGAAGATGGCGCAGGACCGGGCAGTGTTGTACACGGCGGCTAGACCACCCACAGCACCGAACTACAACAAGAGCCCCAGGGTGGGTGTCTTCTCACCCCAGCCTGAGGAGATTCTGGGCACCCTCTTCTAAGAGGAAGGGAGCTGGAAGTCGGGGCCCCTCACTCCTTCCTGGCAACCACCCCCTTGGCGGTCTCTCCTGCCGCTCCCCACGCCCTCTCCGCTGGGGCTTACGGTCTGGCCTGAGCTCTCCCATAATCCTGTGTGGCTTTGTCCAAGTGCTTCAACATGAGGTCCTCATATGCCTTCCTCAAGAGGGTGCCTAGATGCATGGCCAGTGCCTGATGGACAGGGTGCTAGCGACTGACCCCAATGGGCCTGGCAGGTGGGCAGTACACCAGAGGCTAGGTGGCTGGAGTTGGGCCATGCATCGGACTTCGGGGTGCCTGGTCTACCCAGACCTACCAGGAGGTCCCTGCCAAGTGGGGACACAAACCAGCCCCTCACAGGCTCCCTGCCCCTGTCCTTCTGCCCTTCAGGGACTACGGTGATATTTCCAAATACCCTCACCGGCTGTCCCCTCCCCCCACTCCCCGGCCCCAGCAATGTTCCCCAGAGCCTCAGGGTCAGAGTCCCAGCTTCAAGCTCACAGTGGCCATAGCATCAACACGGACTCACAGTGTCCCCGTGTGTGAAACAGGAGAGCCGTGATCCAGGAGACTCCAAGGACTAGTTTGGGGGAATCAGGTCACCAGTCCTCTTGTCCAAGGTGCCTCTGGGTGGTCATGAAGCTCCAACCTCTTAGGGAGCAGCTCAGCTCATTAAACATCTCCACCCTGATGGCATAGTGGTTACTTGTTGGGCTGCCAACTGCAAGGTGAGCAGTTCAAAACCACCAGCTGCTCTGAGTAAGAAAGATGAGGCTTTCTGCTCCCGTAAAGAGTTCCAGTCTTGGAAACCCACAGGGGCAGTTCTACCCTGTCCTATGGGGTCGCTGTGAGTCGCCATTGACTTGACGACAGGGGAGTGTCCCCTCCACCTACCCCCTCCTCCTGGGGACTCAAGTTAAGGAGCTTGCTTGTCCTGCAGGCCCATTGCCATTAAAATGCTTACCACTCAGCCAAGTCAAATCCAATGAGGTCCTCAAACCGTATCCCCTCAACACCCCCCCCACCCACATACAATGGTTACCTGTAAGGACCAGGACCTGACTGGGGACCCCTGCCAGCATCTTGGGCCCCAAAACCTCCAGTGACCTCCAGGCCTTCCCAGTCCTGCTCTGTTCCACACAGAACCACGATTGGTGGCCACTGACCACCAGTCCCAGCGGGAAGCCCCCTCCTCCGGGAAGCCCCCCCACCCCCACCCCCGACTCCTCGTGCTTGACCAATGCTGAGCTGTCTGTGGAGCCACTGTTGCTCCTAAGGACAGAACCAGCCCTTGCTGAGCGCGGCCGGGCAGGCGTGGCCCCGGGATTCCAGAGCGGAGCGTCGGGAAGCGGGTCACCAGGCTGGAAGCCGAGAGCCTTCGCTGCTGAAGGCCCCACCATGAGGAGAGACCCAGAATGGAGAGTGGGGGGAATGGGCCAGGTGGGGCGTTTTGCCGTCTGGGGACAAGGGAGAGGGCTGAGGGCCGGGGTGAGGGCTCTCTCACACCCTGCCCAGCTCTAGCGAGTTCTAATGGCCTCTCCAGCTCAGGTGAAGGGCGCCCTCCCCAGACAGGACTCACCTTCAGGGCGGGTGAACTCCCGGAAGGTGGGCAGCGAGATGACGGTGTGGGAGATGGTGTGCACCGGGTCCAGCACGCACGTCACGTCGTTGGGAAGGCAGGCCTTCACACAGCGGACGGTGTCTGTCTTCTCTTGGCGGAGCCTGTGGGGGAAGGTAGACAAGGTCAAGGCCTCCCCTGAACTGGGCTCCCCTCAGGAGGTCCCTGCCAAGTGGGGACACTAACCAGCCCCTCACTATGGCTTTATAGGATAGTGGAGAAGAGCCCCATCAGATTGTCAAGGCTACGAACTTTTCCACAAGCCGGCTGCCCGTCTTCTCCCCATCCTCTGGAATGGCTGATCTTTCCGTCAGCTTTTGAATGCCTTCACCACTGGACCTCCAGGGATCCTTTGCTCTTACCTGGTATGTGGAATTTTTTTTTTTTAATTTCTGGAAAGTTTCCTTGGGTTATCATTTTTAATATATGTTTTTCTCCCTTGTGGATTTCTTCTTCAGTGGTTTCTACAAAATGCATGTTGGGTCGTCTTTGCCTTCAATATCTGTCGTTTCCGCTTCAGGTCTTCTCATCGCTCTTGTCATTTACAAAGCGTTTCTTCTAAGGACAGAAAGGCAAAAGCTCGCTTGATCTTGATTTTCAGTACGAATACAGACCGTGAAAGCGGGGCCTCACGAAAAAAAAGAATGAACTTCTTTAAAAAAAAAAAAGTGTTTCTTCTTTTCAAGCTCTATTTTTGTTGAGTGTTGACTCACTTTGTGTGCCTTCAAGTTTAAGGTCTATTTCTAGAATTGTTATTTCCTGAATTCTAGCACATCACTGCCTTTTTCTTTTTTCCTCCTGACTGGCATTTCCCCCCGTGTTTTGATCATTTTCGTAATGCTTCTAGTTTGTTTTCAAAGAGAAGTTGCCGGTTGACCTAGTCTATAGGCATGCATTTTATTGCCCATAGGGATGCCATTCTGCTTCTTAATTTTTTTCTTATAATAATTTGTCTGGCATCACACCTTGATACTTGACGGTTGATCGTTTTTCCATGAGATTGATTTCCCTGAAACTTCAGAAGGGCGTTGTTCACAGTCGTTTTTTCCGATTCACAGAGAAACTCTTTGGAGCAGCTGTATTTCTGATGAACCGCTGCTGAGTGGGTTCTGACTCCCGACACCTGTGTGTCACAGCAGAGCTGTGCTCCACAGGTGTTCAATGGATGGCCTTTTGGAAGTAGATTTCTCAGCCTTTCTTCCAAGCGGCCTCTGAGCAAATTCAAACTCCCAACCTTTCAGTTAGCAGTTGAGTGTGCTAATAGTTTGCACCATCCAAGAACTCCGGTTTTCTGATATTTTTCCCCTTTACCATCTTCTCTGTTGTCTCATTTCTACTCATTTTTTATCCCAGTTCCAGCTCTCTCTACCTCAAGTGTGAAGTCCTGATCTCTGGTGCGGTTTCGGGATTTCCTGGAGGCTAGTCTGCTAGTCCCTTCAATCCCCACAGTGTATTCCTGCTCCACACGGATCACTGAGTGAGCAAATGCCGCCCGGTTTCAGTTGCTATCCTCAGATTGGTCCGCTGAGCTTTCCAATGATTTCCTATCGATTATTTTAACTTTCTCTGATCCCGGGACCACTGGACACTCCATTGCTTCCTACTGCTGTCTCTTGCACCAAAGCCAGTCCAAATAGCATTTGGGAGTTCAGGAAGACACCTTGCCATCTCATTTAGATCCAAATGCTTTCCTTGGATTTTCTACTTTCTTATCTAATTGTACTAGGGCTAGGATCCAGAAGTTTCAAAAGCTATGCCTGCACCTTCCCAGACTCTGGGCCAGACATTTTTATTATTTTTTTTT